CTACCTGGCAGCAGCACTGAGCTCCTTGCCCCTAGTTAAGGAGTAGTTATATTTATACAGTCCTGAAACTACATTTGGCCCTTTGAAAGAAACTGTGAGGCTGATATGGCCCCCTGTGAAAATGAGTTCGGCACCCCTGGCTACAGTTTTGACCAAGGACCAAGAATAGTCTCCAAACATTCTACTCCACAGTGTCAATAAGGGAATTTTGAAGAATAGGATAAAAACCAATAAAGTGAATCGGCAGGAAACTATGGATAGGATGTCATTGAAAGGATCAGGCAGCTTAAAGGAAAGTGAGTAACCTCTAGAGTGGCTACTCTTATAGATTTGGCTCTAGGCTGTGAATTTTACCTTCTTTTTCACCCTCAAGCAAACTGGGAACTACTGTTAACTATAAAAACCCATCTTTTTACTGGTTTTAACTCTAACGCAACCCTTAAAGAAATAACATTTGTTAAACTGCTTTTTGTTATGAAAGCTATATTGCCTTTTCAGAGAAAATTTGAAAAAATATGTAAAATAAAGGAGAAAATAGAATTATCTGTATTTTATCTATGAGATAACATTTGATTCTATACTTATCCATATACATCTACATACAAGTGTATGTTTCTGTGTGCACGTATTTTAAATTAAATCATGTAATAGAGATACACACACCAAAAAGTATACAAGTCATCATTGTGTAGCTTAATAAATTTTCAAATAGTGAACACAGCTGTATAATTAGTACTCAAAACAAGAAGCAAAAATTAATTAGGCCCAGAAGACCAGCTTTACTCCTCTACCTTCTACACGCAAGTTATTCCAGCCTGATTTCCATCACAATGCAGAGATTGACCAAACATTAAAATTTACATACTTGGGCCCTGGCTAATGTGGCTCAGTGGTAGAGAACCAGCCTGTGAATCAAAGAGTCCCCAGTTTGATTCCCAGTCAGGGCACATGCTGGGGCTGCGGACCCAGGTCCCCAGTAGGGAGCACGTGAGAGGCAACCACACATTGATGTTTCTTTTCCTCTCCATCTCTCTCCCTTCCCCTCTCTAAAAAAATAAATAAAATCTTTAAAAAATAAAATAAAATGTACATACTTGGGCTCATATAGTATGTATTGTGTTGTGAGAAACTTATAGTGTGTACTTCTTCTACTCAATCTTATGTTTATAAAACTCATCCACATGATTACTTGTAACTATAGTTCATTCTTAGTACTATATATTATTCCACTGTATGTCTAAAACACAATTTACATAATCACTGGTGGGCAGTTAGATTGTTTCCAGGTATAGACTATAAGCACTGTTCTCATCATCTTTGACACATCATTAAATACAATTTTATTGGACTTTTCAATATTGTAATATGTACAAATCATACTGAATGTGATATAAATTTCATAAAATAAGTTTACTGATGTAACTAGGACACAAATAAGCCATTATCAATACCCGAGAATTCACTGCTGTGCGTGGTAATTTTTAAAGGACTCTTGGGCATTGTTTATGAAGGCATTATAAAGGCTTGTAATAAAGTTATACTGCTCAAAAGAGGACTGATTTTTTCCTTCTGTGAACATAGGGGCCGATTACCTTGATCCAATTAGAATTCAAATGTTTGGTTTTAAACTGAATGAGGGCTGGCCTAGACCTCATGCACCATGACTCATATAAACTGTAAGCGTTCAGATATTCCAACAGAAAGGCTGGGCGTTTTCCAGGACCTCATCTCCGTGTTAGCTAGGAAGCCGTCATCCCCATGACAGCTGTGACACCTCTTTGGATTCACTTCCCCTTTATCCTGAGCTTTTCAGCCTTCCACCATGTATCACTTACAAATTAGGACAAATCCTGTCTATAATTTTAAAAATAGAAGTTGGGTAATTCTATTGAGCAGATTCATCCTGTTTTTTTCCCACCTACTTTGTATTTACATCTTATTAAATATTTAATATCATAGCACAATGGATTTTTCATTTTCCAGCCTGTGGTCCATTCTCTCTCTAGTTTTGTCCCCTGCCTGCAGTGACCTGCCTCGTACTGTGACAGAGCCAGGTGAGGGCATGTGCTTTGCTCAGGCTTTGATCAGAGAGAGCAGTTTTCAGCTTGAGTCACATATGAGTGTGTTCCTTGATTGTGTGTATGTCATTGACCCACATACTATTCTCTGGTTGCAGCAGGCCAGGGATTTACCTTTAACCAGGTATCACAAAGCAGTTATTACTAGCAGGTTTATCTGCTTATCACTCCCTAAGGTATATATTTATAAGGTAATTACTTAGTTAGTGGGACACATGGTCCTAGATGTGAACCCAGAAAATTATTAACGTAGTGTTTTCTGGCAGCATTTGCTTACTTGAAAATCCTCAGCTGGCAGGCAGTGCTATTTTATACTGTACTAGTATTACTTTTAAAACATTGAAAAACGTAAGTGGTAAAAACTACAGAAATGTTACATTTTAGAGTAAAAAGAGTGTATATATAAACAAAAGCTTACCACCATGAAACGTGATCAAGACAAATTTAAAATCTACATATGAGTAAAATCATGTGGTACTTGTCTTTCTCTCATGGGCTTATTTCACTTAGCATAAAGCTCTCCAGGTCCATCCATGCTGTCATAAAGGACAAGATTTCCTTCTATTTTATGGCCAAGTAGTAGTATTGTATAAATGTACCACATATTTTTTTTATACATTCATCTACTGATGGACACTTGGGCTTCTTCCAAATCTTGGCTATTGTAAATAATGCTGCAATGAATATTAGGGTGCATTTAACAGAGGGTTTCTTTGGATAAATTCCCAGAAGTAGAATCTCTTGTTCATATAGTGGTTCCATTTTCATTTTTTTGAGGTAACCCTATAATGCTTTCCACAGTGGCTACACTAGCCTGCATTCTCACCAACAGTGCATGAGGGTTCAATTTTCTCTACATCTTCTCCAACACTTGTTGTTTGTTGATTTATTGATGATAACCATACTGACAGGTGTGAGGTGATATCTTATTGGGGTTTCAATTTGCATTTCTCTGATGATTAGTGACATTGAGCATCTTTTTATATGTCAATGAGCCATCTGTATGTCCTCTTTGGAGAAGTGTCTATTGAGATCCTCTGACCATTTTTTAGTTGGATTTTTTGTTTTCTTTTGGTATTGAGATTTGTAAATTCTTCATAAATTTTGGATATTAATCCTTGGCAGAACTGTTCTCCCATTCAGTGGGTTGTCTTTTCATTTTGTTTAAGTTTTGCTTTGCAAAAACTTAGTTTGATGGAGTCCCATTTGCTTGTTTTTCTTTTGTTTCCCTTGCCTGGGGTGATGCATGAAAAAAAACATTTTGCCTATGAGAAATGTCTGAGATTTTACTGCCTGTGTTTTTTCTAGGATTTTTATAGTTTTAAGTGTAGGTATTAAGCTTTTAATCCATTTTGAGTTTATTCTTATGCATGGTGTAAGAAGGTGGTCTACTTTCATTTTTTTTGTAAGTCTAATATTCCTAATCCCATTTATTGAGTAGATTATCTTTACTTCATTGTAAGATTTTGCCTACCAGTCAAATATTAATTGATTATAAAGGTGTGGGTTTATTTCTAGGTTCTGTATTCCATTCCATTGATCCATATGACTGTTTTTAGACCAGTATCATACTGTTTTGATTATCATGGCCTTGTAGTGTAGTTTGAGATCAGGTAATATGATTCCTCCAACTTTGGTCTTCTTTTTCAAGATTGCTGTGGCTATTTGGGATTTTTTTGTGGTTCCATATATATTTTTGCAATATTTGTTCTAATTCTTTGAAATATGCCATTGGTATCTTTATGGAAATTGTGTCGAATCTTTAAATTGCTTTGGGTAGTATGGACAATTTAATAATGTTAATTTTCCCTATCCATGAACATGGTATATGCTTCCATTTATTTGTACCTTCTTCAGTTTCTTTCTTCAGTGTTATAATTTTCTGAGTATATGTCCTTTATTTCCTTGATAATCATTTATTCCCAGGTATTTTATTCTTTTGAAGCAATTTTTAGTGGAATTTTTTTCTTAGTTTCACTTTCTGATAGTATATAAAAATTCAACTGATTTCTAGATATGTATTTTCTATACTGCTACTTTACTTAATTTTTAACACTTCTGGTATTTTGTGTTTTGTTGGAATTTTACAGGTTCTCTATATACAGTGTCATGTCATCTGTAAATAACAACAGTTTTACTTCTTTCTTTCCAATTTGGATGCCTTTCATTTCTTGTATGAATTTAATGAACAAAATGAACAAGTAAAACTGAAATAGATCCATAGACTGAGAATGGCTTACAACTTTTGGAGTGGGGTGCTGGTGGCTGGGTAGGTGGTTGGAAGGATTGAGAAAAAAGAAAAAGAGAGAAAAAACTAATGTACACATACAACAGTGTAGTAATTAATGGGGGGGAGGGGAAAGTTGAAAGGCGCTGCAGAAGGATAGATGATGATGGAAGGACACATGACTTTGGGTGTAAACACCCAATACAGTGCACAGATGATGTGCTATGGAATTGTGTACCTGAAATCTGTATAATTTTGTTAACCAGTGTCACCCCAATAAATCTGATAAAAAGACAAAAAAGAAATTATTGTACTGGTATGAAAAAAGTCTCTAAATTGTGTTTATTAAATGTAAGAGGTATATAATATCTTTACTATTTTTTGAAAAATAAAACAAAAGATATATATAAAAAGCAAAAAAATCAAATATAGGTAAAATCAGTTTCTAAAAGTTAGCCTCCAAAAAATACTCGATATTGAAGAACTTTTCACTTTAATATCATTGCTTGCTTTTTCCATTTATTTTTTGAGGTTTTGAAAATTGTAAGTTTTTTCTTTTTTAAAATGTTTGGAAAACTAAGTAATAGGGATAATAATGAGATACTTTTCAGATAGACAAATACCACAATGAACTATTAACTGACATCCAAATAAAAATAATTTCTCTCACATTAAATTCCTTTTTTCTCTTTAAGACCTCAACTGCCACAGTAAATGTGGTGGTGTCAGACGTCAATGACAATGCTCCCATGTTTGATCCTTACCTGCCTAGGAATCTGTCTGTGGTGGAAGAAGAGGCCAACGCCTTTGTGGGTCAAGTGAGGGTAAGTGGAATATGTTTTAAATGATGGAGCATCAAAATGATTGGAAAGCAATCTGTGAAGGCACTTGGGAATCATGTAAGATGATACCCGAGTGCACACATTTTCAATCGCTGGGCTGGACACTCTTCAAGATTTTGTTAAAATCATATGTCCATTTGGATTTAAACTTTTAAGCTCTTTGGTTTACATTTTATAATCATTGTGTAATTGAATGCTGATTCATTGAAGAATATTCTTTTCTTATTTACTATACATTTTTCTGGAATTATGGTAAAAGACTTTAAAATAAATATGTAACTAGCTATTCCACTAAGTATAAATTTGGTAATGTGTACCTCAAAATACAATTGTTTCTATGTAAATACATTGGTGTATAAATAAGTATTTAACATCTACTATGTACCTTATATTAATATATCACATACAACCTTTGTCCAGTATACTCAGCACTCATTCCTAGGCATGTTTTCCTGATTTCTAACTGGACATAGTAGCCAGTTTCTGTTGTCCTTTTGATGAAAACATCCTGGAGTTTTTTGTTTGTTTGTTTGATTTTTTTGACAGAGACAATACTTCATAAGTTAGGCCATAGTTAATGGTCTAAAAGTCATAAGATGAGGGAAAAATTTTAGGATGGTGTACGTATTTTGAGATATCTACCTGAGCTAAAGAAGATTTTATATGGCTTCTGGGCAAGGAGGGCATGTCCTCTGGGAGGACTAAGTCACACAGGTGTCTTGAGTCTGTTTCAGAACCCTACCTCTTCCCTTTAAGGCCTTGGGTTTTAAATAGGAGGTTTGCTGGCACTTTGAAGTAAGACTTCTCTGCAATTCAGCTACTTGGACTATCAGACAGAGAGTCTGGTTTCCATTCTAATATTCTCTATAGCTGTAAAAAAGGAAGGTTTCTTTAAATACTGTTTTAGAGAGCTTCTGACTTTCACATCATGCCTTGACATTTGGAATGGTTAGTTTGAGTCCCTCAGAGCATGGATAAATAAAACTTACAAAAACTACCAGCTCCACAGCCATTATTGTTATCATTGTCACGGTTTCTCTTAAATCCTGGAGAGACTGCATCAGTCATACATCCCCTTATGCTTTTATGTCATCTCAATTTGTGACAGGAGAGCATCTGGGTAATTGTGCTGTTTCAACATCCTGGAGAGGCTTGATGCCCAGTGGGCAGCAAACCATTCAACTCCAGAACCCCACACAATGCCTCTGGTGTCAAACGTTTTACTGTAGTCTGGTATAAATAGTTACTTGCGAAGTTAAGTAATACTAATAGGGAGGTAAGGAAGTGATGTAGAGAAGAGTTGGTAGCCAGAAAAGGGATTGCTACTAACTATCTATTATTAGGAAGACTGGAGATTAATTTTGAGGGCAAATTCTGGGAAATAGCACAGAACACATTTTGCACAATTATCCATCCAAGGAATGACAGATTTTGTAAATTCACGCACTAAATCCTGAAAGTTCTTGGTCACCCCAGCTGCTGTGGAGGGGGCATATTGTCGCACATCCTGCTTCCTGTGCCAGCAAGCAGCCAGCTCTCTGCAATTCTGATATCAAGGCATTCAGTCAGACTGTAAATGCCAGCAGGTGGAAATTGTCCAGAGAGTACGTATGCTCTGAGGGACATGCATGGGGCACTGCCAGCTTCTTTACACCAAGTAAAGAAGGTGGTAAGGGAGGCATGGGCAGAAAACATAATAGGAGGCAATACCACAGTTGATTCATGAAAAAATGAATCCTGGTGAAAGATTTCAAGAGGTGACATGGGTGGGAAACTGTGTAGAGAAAGGTAAATTCATGAATAAAAGCACAGATGAACGAGAGCATGTGACATGCCCTAATTACAGTCAAGAAGATGTGCCACATCAAAAACATTTCTCTTTGCCATGTTGTAGAAGGTGATGGAGGACCCCTGGAGGGTCTGAGGTGTGATATCAGCAGATTTTGATCATATAAAGATTAATCTTGAGTAGATTATAATGGAAGGTTCTAAATCCAGAAAGCTAAATTAGAAGGGATTTAGAATAGCCTACACATATATTAGGCTTGAACTAATAGTCTAATCATAATGATAATTAAATTGCATTATAGTCACTCTTGCATGCCACATTGATGAAAACTGAAAATTTTATCAGTTATATCCACAACTATTCAGATAAAATAAACAGGTATTGAAATCTTTTAGGAAAATAATCTTTCCAATTTCTCTTATTTTACTGAGTATTAAAGTAATAAATCCATATGGAATATGAAACTAGTAACAAATAAGTAGACATTAGCATAACAATAATGCTTAGTTAATTTTTTAACTTAACTAAGTCACTTTTTATTTGTCACTTTTCTTAGTGATTCTTTGTCTTTGAAGGAATTATGGCATTAAGCATTTTTTATCTTTTGTTTCTTCAATTTCATGAGAAATGGTCTCTACAATTTATTTCAACATTCAAGATTGAAACATAGACCTTAGCACTCATAATTTGATAAAGCAGTAATTCTCCTAGTCTGTAGACAAAACATGTTTTCTTAAAAAAACAGAATGAGTTTGAAAATACAAAGGAAGAGAAAAACATCCAAAGCAGGTGCATCCAATAGATTCTGCACAGTTCCAGAGAAGTTGTAATATTCATAGAATGGAATTTTCATAAATCATAATGGTCTCCTATTGCTGCCTAATGATAATTATACAATATATCAATTTCACTAAATGACTCATGCTCTGCTTATAAAATTTCATTGTAATTGTCACCAAAACTATTTAAACTCAACACAAAAATATTATATGGTTGGTTATTTTACTGAATTTGACTTACCCACTTTGAGTTTTGTTCTAATAGTGTTTTGGTGTGAATAATCTAGTATTTGGATTCAAATGGCAGAGGAACTTTTTATTTATTAAGGTAGTGTTGTACTATCAAGCTTAATTAAACAGGAAAAACTTATGAGGTTATATTTGTAGATTAAACAAAGCAAACATTTTAATCAGTTTGGTGAAAAATAAACTACCAGCCAGTAATTGTTTTTAACACAGAACTTACTGTACACAGGTATAGTACATCAAATTTAAATTTGAGAATCGTCTCTATATTTTCAAAGTACTTGCAGTAGCAGTAGAGTTGGAAAACTGTATGTAGAAAATGGAACTAGCAAACACAGTACAAATAGACTCTGTCTATGGTGAGTGTCAAATGTGTCAGGCCAGCTTTTTACTAAAAGGAGTAAGAGCCAGTCCAAGGACAGAAGTGGCTATGTCAAGGTTCCTGGCAATAGGTATCATCTGCAGAACCTTGATAAATTAGTGAAATTACAGACTGAAATATAAAACAAAGGAAAAAAGACACAAGACAGATGTGATGCAAGACAGAGTTGAGCTGAAGAGGCAATTTGAGAACCAGGTGATAATCTTCCAGTAATGGAAAATTAGTTTAGAGGGGTTCTGGAAAACTGACTTAAAACATATCAAGTTCACATGGGGAAGTAGGAAGCCCTAATGAAATAGCTGCTGCTATAAAGACTTCACTTGTCAATATGGAGTTTTTGTTAGTAGCCTTCACAGGCTTTCACAGGAGATAGAATCTAAAGAGTCTCCATGCATATTCTGACTCTGAAACATCTGACAGTAATTCATTTGTAAAGTGGGCCTCAGGTATTAGGCCTCATACCAGCTCCTACAAAAGCCTAAGTTGATCCTAATTTCCTGGGTGTCCAGAAAGTGAGAGAGAATTATTTTTAAATGTTTACATGTCTGTATTAATTTAGTCAGTGTTAAATGAGTCAAATAGTTGAGGGTAAAGCTGGGTCTATTATTGGAATTATGTATGTCATTTTAAATGAGTTTGATAAATTGCTTGGATATATTTCCAAGATTCTGTCTATTCCTAAAACTGAAGGACTTTCTGGGAAAATTAATTCTAATATGTCAGAGCCAGGAAAATGAGCTTGGTCATAACTTGAACTCCAGGTCTTCAGAACTAGGTAATCACGATGCTTAGTTCAATGCAATGGGTGTCATTTTCATTTATTTCTCAAGTAATATTTGATGTATTCAATATTGACACTGAGATGAGGAGTGAGGAGAAGATAAAGGAAGCCCATTTCAACAAACATTGTCTGAGATACAGGATCACAAAGAGGACTTCTTTGTATTTGTCGAGTAGAATTTAGCATAAGGAAGAATTAGATGGTGTTTTTACTTAGCCATGCTTTCCCCAGTAGATGCTTCAATACATTACTGTGTGTGCTTATTTGGGATGAGTGGAGATTTATTTGGGGTGAGTGAAAAAGAGAGGAGGGAAGTATGGAGGGAGGAAGCCTTGGAGCTCATATCAAATATTTCTAGCCTTTGTAGTACCATCTCCTCAATTAGCTTCTAGGGGCCCAAATTCTCCCGAAAAGTTTCATCTTTGTTTTTCAGAGTAGCCCTGGGTGTGAATGCATGCACAGATGCATTGAGGAGGCATGCTTGGAAACAACATTGCCCATTAAGATTAAACAAGTTCTAAGCATTGTATGTAATACTGAGCTAGCTACTTCCCAGCAAACTTCTAGTTAATACCTTGTAGAAATTCTTATGCTGAACTGACTTCTTTTAGCTCTGAGTAACAAAAATAGAGGCCTGAGTCAACAAAAATGTTCTTCCAGTTCTACAACAAAAGCGTCTGAAATTTATTTAACCTGAAACACAAACGTATTCCCAGTGTGAGATCTGCATGCTACGTCTCAGCAGCAGTGAAGTGGCAAAGATTTAGTTTTAAAGCCTTAAAGCACTTTTAAAATCATTAGTAAACGGCAGCCTTTAGAAAGGTAGCAATGTTGTCATTTTTTAAAATTATATTTCCTTCAACAAGACAATTTAATATTAAGCAAAATAAATCTGACCCTCAGTGGTCTGTGTCTGATTAATGTTGTCATCTCCCCGTGTGGGTTCTATAAATGAACTGAAGGTGGGGAGCTTTATGGTCTTTTATTTATTTCTTGTAGCTCAGC